CAGGCCATTAAAAGTAGATAGTCTTTGGTATTATTAGAAGAACTACATCTTATGCGATAGAGTGAAATTTACCACTAACAACAGTTCTTGTTTTGATAGTTTGAAGATGCCGTATCACAACTACACATTAATGCGATGTCTTATATGAAAATTAAACTACGCGCTATGGTAGCGCATATTAATATTATGAAAATGAAATGTATCAAATAGAAAATTTGAATACTTATCCCCGTATTTTATATAATTATCGAATAGACATAAGTAGGCTAATTTCATATTTGGTTGGTACACGCCAAATCGTAGAATTGTCAATAACGCGTCGATAAGACCAGTAAGTGTCGGTCTACAGGTCTAAAATTCGTGAGGTCCAGATAAGCTGACGAATCTTAGTTAAATGCAAGATATGAAATTTTGTTTTAATTATTCCTGAAAGATATCCAGAATATTATATGATCTATTTGTGAGTGGTAAAAGGAATTAAAGTCTCGTAAATCACACAGTACATATAACTGCTAGTTAATCTAGCGTTCTAGGCCGCACATTGAAATAAGAGATTGCCCTGCATTCAAATGATCTCGTCATACATTTAACTGACAGATGAATATCTCTAACAGCTCTAGCATTTTATTTTGCATACTGGAAATAGGATCGCATACTAAACTTTCATTTGTACAGTGAGGATTTTAAGCAAAATTTGTGTTATTCTCTCGATGCTAGTGGCTTTGCTTAAAAATTGCTGAGTGCAATTGAAGCTAATGTGGCAGATCCGAACCCAGCCTACTAGTAAAAAGGAAGACTATAGTTTGGCTTGTAGTGGTATTGTGTCTGTATTTTTAGACTGATTGCGAATAAGTTATAGATTGCCTTTTTTATTAACGCTAAAGCAATATTTAGATACGGAAAAGGATAGTTTAAATAGCTATGTTTTTTCTATTTTTGTCTTAATCAAATCCAAACATATTTATAAATTCTATTGTTTAGAGATTGAAATACTGATTCAGTTTATCCAGATTCTGGAACAGTTGAGTTATGAACTGAAATATACTCACTAAAAATTAACCTTAGAGTGACATGTAAGAATAAGAGTAATTATTGTGTTTTAAAACATCAATTTTTAAATTTTATTGCTGCACTTATGGTATAGCTACAAATTTTGTTATACTCCCGTGCTCTTTTATATATTCTTAAAGACCAAGTTCAATTGTCAGAATTGATTTGTAATTAAATAAAATGCAAGAATATGAATATTAATTAATGAATCACAAAGCCGAGTTCCTGATAAAGAATAGCAGATTGTAAACGTTTAAGAATGACCCAACTAAACAGCACTAGAAAATTTTGCAACCGTGGATATTATTTTAATCCATTACAACGCATCATAGCATTCTTCTACATTTAGAGCATATGCCTCTTGGCGGGCTTTCTCTTGATATGCATAGAAATAGGTAAATACATTTAGCAGTAAAATTTACTATATTGAAATAAGGACGATAAAATAACGAAATATTTTCATGCGTATGCCGAAAAGCTATGGTCATATCTCTTTTCGTTAAGCTTTCCTTCTATAAGAGATATCCAATCTTCAAAAAATAAAATCTACTTCATTTCTGTAGTAGTCTGATACCGAAAACTAAAGTATTTGTTATCTTATGTTGAATTGGATGCTTAGATATTTAACGTAAAAGCTGATAAATTATGACATTTAATAGAAGAGTTTGTAAAAATTCGAACTTTATTTAATCACTGTACGAAATTGTTTATTCATTACAAAATAAAAAATTGAATTAATAGCAGATGAAATATCTGTTAATGCCATAGTAATTAGTCGAATGTCTGGATGTCTTTATGGCCAAACAGATCCTTCAGCTAAATTACTGTCACTAAAGCAAAATTGACCAAGAAAATGACTACCTGTGTAAAGCTTACCCAAATCGAATAATACAAGAAAGAGAACTTTCATTATTAATTATCTTCTCACCCGATGCTACTCCTTTAATCTATAAATGTCAAGGGTCATACTTGTTTGCTGACTTTGTAATATGGACGTAAATTAGTTGGCATATGTACTTAATAAACATGTTACGATATTTTTATATGTACTGTACTTAAACATTTACGATAGCATTCAAGTCGGACTCCGTAGAATGATACGATTTTTTGGTTACAAATATGAAGTATTAAAAATAAAATGAGCAATAGTGCACTAACTAAGAATATATTTCGTCACTATGGACATTTTTGCTGTTAATCTTATATTAAATTGACTTGTAAAACTAAGCCTTTCTAATATGTTGAAATTAGTCAGTAAAAATATAATGTATCATAAATAGAAAGAAAAGATACATTAGGTTGGTTTACACACGATGTGAAGGTTAATCAGAATTTTAGTAAGCACTGCTAAAGGTTTTATAGTATAGAGCAAAAGCATCAAATGCAAGATAATTTAAAAGACCAATTTTTACTAGTAACATAAGCAACAATTTTCGAAGATAAATTGCGGATTGTATCTCTAGTTAATTAAAATAAAACTCATCAGAGAGTAGAAAAAGAATGCGATACTTCGCTAAGAAGATAAAATTTACATCATTCACATAACCTCAACAATACTGATCTAAATATAATTTCTACTATACAAAATAGGAATCGAAACCATCTGACTTTTTTTTGCTTTAGAAGCCACCATTGCAAGCTTATGGCTGTGTTGCATATTTAATAATGTAGTTGAACTGATACAAATTGAAAGCTGTATTCCAATAATTACGAAGGATATAATTGTGGATATAGTGGCTGGCCAGAAATGGATATTCTCCCAAATGATACTCGGTATATCCAGATAGTGGACAATTTGTAAAGTAGATGGATCGATTGTATAGTGAGCGCTATCAACCTAACATAAAGAAAAGTCAGTAAAAGAGTAAGTATGATTTTAATTTATTAAATTAAAGTATTACAGTGTATTGAGAATTTAAAATTTCGTATATTGAATAAATAAAAATGGTTTTAAGTTGAGTAGCAGTAGTCCGAACAATTGCAAACGAAATTATTTTACATCAGACAACTAGAATTTATTTAGCCTAATTCAAGCAATGTAATTTAAAGGATATTATTTTTAGAAGGAATGATAATAAACTAAATAATCTAAGATATACTTAAAAGAAATAATATATTAACGTATGATAGCGCGGTAGATATTGCGATGGATATCGAGATCACATCGAAGTAATGCCTTGAATTATCCATGTTGATATCCAAAATGCGATGAGTATATAACGCTAATTAGCTAGCCTTTTACGATGACATAGTGCATATGATTGAAGATACCGAACTCTTTGAACAGCCAAATATCTCTCAAATGCTAATAATTTAAAGTTAAAGCACACAATTACTGTGCAATCTACGGTTACCCTTTTATAAATGTTACATGGCTTATAGTGTTGATTTTTGGGTAATAAAACGTTCAGAATCAACATTAAAACAGAAATGATACAATTAACTTTACTAGCTAATACCACAAGCTGCAAAAGTTGAAAATGAATTTTAGCAAAGTTAGGGCGTCTTGGCATTAATTTGGCGAATGAAAGGAATGCTATTATATTATCAATGAAACCAGTAGCACTAACGATAGTAGTTCATGGCTCAGTAGCTTGTAAAAGTCGATTACGGCCAAAACAATCGATGTAGCAATTAAATAGAATAAAATAAAGATTATATATTAGTATTTCATAGTCTTCATGTTGCTAATAAAGTTTCAATACAGCAGTTAATATGAATAATTGATATCCGTGGGCAACAGCTAGTCGTACCATAAATTATTTTTATACTGAATAGACATTTAGGCAAATATATATTACATTCATCAGCAATATTCATGTCAATGCTGCGATTAAACTGCATTCCAGTGCCATACTGTGGGCTCTTAACTTAATTGTGATGCTCACCGTGGCTTTTAAGCGGCCATAAAAGCTATAGATTTATTATATTGCAATAGAGACGCGTATTCCAATTGCAAATTTTTAATTAAAATTTGAATATTTTTGTATCACGAATGTCTTTGCGAGCTAGACGATTTAGGCCTAACGGATTGCTTATAATAAAACGCACTTTCAATATTTCGTATAGCACTATTCACTTAAGAGAATTATAAAAGAAAGGAAGAATGGAGCTATACGCGTATTATAGTATTTATATGTTTTCTTTGTCAAATTCGTAACAGTTTGTAATGTAAATGAAGATTTAATTGTTATTGTAGTACTTATAAGTATAGTATACTCTAGAAAACTTTAAGAAATTCAAAGCAACCGATTTAATCCCTTGGGTCCTTAACCGTCACGATTTACCAGAACTGATGTTAGGCTATGTTCAGATGGGAAAATAACGATAATTTTTCAATTCTTTAATCTGTTTTACAACGCCGATTTTAACCTTAATTCTATTACGCCGTTATCACTACCTTTTGCGATAATGGCAAGTTTTTCGATCCGTAGTTTAATTGCAACAGAGCCATGAAAATAATAATTTTTGTCATCATCTATATGGCGGATTAGATTTGGATAGAATATTAATCTAAAACATAGCATTTGGGTTTATTCGCTTGGACCGAAGCTAATAAAAAAGTTGCTATAGAAAATTAATTTCAACGTTAACTTATTCTCAAGAAAAAGGGTGTTAATCCATAATTGAATATACTATACTATAATAGATATTCTATCACCAATCACTGCTATAAAACCTGTTAAATGACAAGAATGGCTTCCGAAACTAAGTATTACCTGCTAAAATCAGAAGAGCATGAACAAACAGCAAGCAAGAAAAACGATCACCCTAGTGTCGATTATTTCTGTGTTCGTCAACAAGTTATACGAAAAGAAATCTGTTGCATGCTTGTTTGTATGGCGATTTTTTCAATGGTTTTGATAGGGTTATTTATTACTGCTGCTATTCAGCATAGAAAATCGCAATTTATTCCATCTCAGAAAGATAATGAATCTGAGAATAATAGTATGATCTTATCACCGTCATCAGCTAAATCATTTCCTTATCATGGTTACAGATTACCACTCCATATTTATCCGAACTATTATGCAATTCATCTTCACCCAAAATATGATCAGTTAATCACTCATGGTAGCATGATCATTGTCGTGACTTGCCAAGAAAAAACTGATTTCATTATTTTACATAAGAAACAAATAGTAATTAGTACTATTTCAATAAGCAGTGTTAACAACGGAAATGACAGTATTAAAGTGATTAAAACTGTAGAAAAATCTAAATATAACTTTTACTACCTTCAGTTAGAAGATTATTTACAACCTAATTATCAGTATATCATTCATATGAAATTTACTAGTTACATTAGAACTAAAATTCTGAATGGATTCTATCGATCTCATTACAAGACCACTAATGGAACGACTAGGTTAGCCAATTTTAAGTCTAGTATTTAAAGATATGTTTTGTGAAGAATAGATTTGTAGTTAATGAAGGTAATATTAGAAATAATAAGTCTTGAAAGATTTCTTACTTACCTTAAGCTTTTTTACATATCATTTTATTTTGGTAAGACAGTCATAATAAAAGTTTCTGCCTGAGATGCTGAAATTAATTCACAGTTAAATTTTCCATTATCATTAGTTAAAATAATTCCAATTTAAGAACGGAGTCTTATCGGAAAGTCTTTACCTTGCGTAATGATATTCATTTACTATCATATAATTCATATCCCACAGTATGGCAACTGGTGTTAATATAGTAATATTAAGATAGTATCAGTAGTATATACCAGTAGTACAATTTAAGTAAAATTAATATTTATCAGTTTGGTGTACTGTAGCAATTAATGTACATACTAGATAAAATAGAATAGATATTGAATTCACTCAGTCTGTTTTCTTTTCAGTAATTTGAAACTGACTAATATATAAGAATGTAGTACATATAAAATTCAGTAAATTTTATCTCATCCTTAAACAGTTAATACAAGAAACGCAATACTCATAATTTGACTGATTAGTAACTCTTTTTTCACTACAGTATAAACACAATATTTATATATAGCATCTGAAAGCTATTTTATTAAAATATAATTTATCTTTGTTATATCTTCATTCTATGATAGATATTTTTATAGCACTCTCTTCGAGTCAACACACGCTAGAGCTGTATTTCCTTGCTTTGATGAACCTGTAATGAAAGCAATTTTTTCCATAAGTATTACTGTCCCAAATGGCTACTCTGCTCTCTCCAATACTCGTTTATATTTAACAAAAAGACTTTCTAATCAGAAAGTTTTCTATAAGTTTCGTCCTTCACCAAAAATGAGTGTATATTTAGTCGCACTTGTAGTGTCTGACTTTAAACATCTCGAAGGAAAGACTACTTCTAATATAAGTGTAAGTTAGCAATTTTTATACAATGAAATGATATGCCTAAGTAGATATTATCGGACTAATAAAATTCATTTTCTTCGCTTTAGAACCATAACATATAATTCTTGTCAATGCTATCTATATTTTTGTCATCTAGATAAATAATAGTGTAATTGTATCCCATAAATTATCTCCTATTCATTCTATAATCAGGTTCGAACATGGGCAAATCCGCGCCTTTGTCAACATACAAAATACTCATTGAATATCGCCATAAAAATTATACCATTCTACGAAAGAATTTATGGTATTGCTTATCCTTTATCTAAGATGGGTAATTATCAATTGAAGATGATCTGTTTGATATATCGATTCTTTCCTATTCAAAATCTTACCTGTGACGATAACATAAATAGATAGATTGAGAAATGAATTGATATAACTCTTTTATACGAGCAGATATGGTCGTAGTACCCCAGTTCGCTGATGGAGCCATGGAAAATTGGGGATTAATTACTTACAGAGAGACATCGATGATATATAATAAACTCACTGATGCATTGCATACTAAGCAGATAGTTGCACTCACTGTTGCACACGAAATAGCCCATCAGGTGTGTAGCATGAAGTTGCAAAAGGAACAATAAAGATAATATTACAGATATTATATACACTTAAGTTTAATATTAAGAAAGAGCTCAGTCTTTATTCATATTTAAAGAATGATATATTAGTCATTAGAACTTGACTAAATGCAATTTAATGGTTATAGTGGAAGTTAGCATATTAATTATAGTAATTTTATTAGTGGTTTGGAGACTTAGTAACGATGAGATGGTGGAACGATGTCTGGTTAAATGAAGGTTTCGCTTCCTATATGGAAAATGTTGGTGCAAATTTTGTTGCTCCGGAATTGAAATTGGTATAATGATGATTAAAATTGTTTTGTGAATTAGTTGACTAATTTAAACTATTATATCGAAATATGAATTACTTTACTCAGATGAATTATAGTATAATTTTTTTGAATGACTAGATGAAGCAGTTTCTGTTTACCAATTATGCTCCGGCACAAGATCAAGATGCCCTACCTACAATTCACCCTATTGTAACACATGCAGCAACAGCTGATCAAATCGATTACTTATTTGACGATATTTCTTACCTAAAGGTACGGCAAAGTAATTCTACTTTTCATGAAATGCGTCCTATACCCCATTATTACAGAAATAAAGCATAAATTACCATAGTTTCAAGAAAGAAATGCTTCTAAAATTAACATGATTCATTATATGTGAAATAGGGAGGCTGCATTCTTCGAATGTTGGAGAGTTTTCTAGGAACTGAAACATTCTATCGTGGAATATATCATTACTTATCACAACATAAGTATAAAACTGCAACGCATCAGGATTTATGGAGAGCTTTACAATGGGTATGTAGACTACTTTGTTAGAAGAAACGAAAGGTCTTATTAACAAGGTTATTTAAGGGAAATCTTGGTTTTAATTAATACTGCTTTCGTAATGCTGCCAATCCACCTTACTATAAAATTGTTATATATATCTTACCAAGCAATGATTACATTTATATATTTATATCTACCTCAATAAATAGTAGTGCAATCGAGCACACACCATTAGTATCAGTATGCAGTATAGTTTAAAATGAGAATTTAGTATGGTATAGCGATCAGCTTATAGTTCCGTAAAGCCGCTATAAATATTCAAACGATACGGTCAAATCAGTAGTTTCCCTTCTTTATCAATTTTTTTCGTTATTAGCGTGTACAGTTTGTTAAATGCTATGTATTTTAATTTATTGCAATTGTATGCAAAATTAGGCCCTAAATAACTAGCAATGATTATTATATCCTATATCTCTTATTTGATGTAAAGATATTTAAAATTTTTCCATTTCATAGGCAACAGATGCTAAGTTAAATGTACCTACTATGATGAATACCTGGACTCTACAGCCTGGATTTCCAGTGCTGACTCTAGAAAATCGTTCTAATAATACGGCATTTATTAGGCAATATCGGTACCTAATTGGTCAAAATTCTTCTTCGAAGACTGATAAATCTCTTCATAAGTTAGTGTAATTGTTATGTTCTAAGTAATTGCGCTATCGTTAAAAATTGAAACTATCTCGTGTATGCATAGATTAGTTTAATCTGTAATCCATTTATACCTTGCTTTATAGCAATTATTAAAAGAACATTAAACTTAGATAAATTGACTTTGGGCTATTTTTTGAGTGTTAATATTGACAGGTGATTTAACTTGCTACTTCGATGTTAGATCTGTATGGCATATCCCTATCTTCCTAGCCACAGAGCACGGTGGACTGAGGAACTTTACGTTATATAAGAAATCTGGTATGATACTATATATAGCATTAATTTCATGTATATACATGTAATAAATAGTTTCCAATAGATTATGTACATCGCACAAAAATTTAAATAGATGTTATGTAAGTAATGTCGTATACAATGAAAAGTAAATGACAATTACGATTAATTTACAACAGATACATCACATAATTTTTTGATTACAGTAGCCTGTAGCCGATCATTGTACTAAAATCTCATTGTTTTACTATGTTGTATAAATGTTTAAGATATTTTACCATGGAAAAAATCAGACGGATGGGTAAAGCTAAATATCAATCAAACTGGCTATTATTGTACAAATTATGATCTCAAAAATTGGAATGCATTGATTGATCAATTAAAGAAAAATTATTCGGTTCGTTGCATATCCTAGAATCATAATACGGATATAACGTGTAGATATAATTTGCATCATATTTTTGTCCCTAGCGTTAAATGTTATATAGTAATAGAAGAGAATAGACGCAGAGATTGAGAAGTAGAAAAAGTGATTTCGATTATTTACTTCTAGTAGAGATTTTATATATAAATCACATGTTCGTATGACATAATTGGCATTTTGATGATAATTCAGTAGTACCGATAATTAAAGGACGTTGTTAATTTAAGAATGTTCGTGAGAATACGAAAATGATTATTAATAGGTTAGTCGTATAAATTTAAATTGTTACAAGATAATTAATCGAAAGATATGTATCATTAGGTTTTTAATGAGCTAGATCGCCACCAATTATTATATGATTCATATATGCTGACCAAGTGAGTTGATTGTTATAATTTAATATATCTGCTATTTTGACGTTATATTATTATTTAATCATTCTCAAAATATCTTACATATTTATAACATCATAGGCCTAATCTACTAACGGTTTCAGTCTTTCTAAACATGACCACCTACTTGGAAAAGGAGAGAAATTATTTACCTCTGCGCGAATCTTTAGAAAATTTGGCTGAGATTGAGTATTTGATACATGATGAATCGGCACGTCAAAAACTCAAAGTAAATGCCTTAATCTTATTCTATATATTATAAAATAATTTTATTCGTTTTTGCCTGCGTATATATGTACTGAAGACTTCAATATTTTTTCCGCAATGTCAATACCTTGATACTTTTAAATACTACAATTTTATTTTTCCAGTTATCTCTATCAATAATATGATGCTTAATTAAGCTGAAGATAATGTAATATATAATATAAGTGAATCAGATCATAAAATATCATCGCGTAAGAAATACCATAGAGTTATAATGATTACTTACATCTTAGTGAACTTAATATTTATGAAATCGTCATTCTGACTGTCAGGTGCTGCCTATCTTTTATAATTCTGGCTATATAATAGCACCTAGACATTTCTCTTAATGCAATTCTAGTCTATACTCCATGAAGTTAAGAATAGTTTCTGATTTAATTTAATTTAATACACAATTGAATTAGAGCAAAATTCCGGGTAGAGGTGTTAATATTTAGAGAAGATATTGTAAATACGCGATATTATTTGCCATTCAATTCAAAATAGGTCGTTCTAAAATTAATGTCAACTAAATTATATTATGTTAGAATTACATACTGAAAATTATTCGACCTCAAATTCAGATTCTTGGATGGAAAAAAAACACAACATTTATGAAAAGGTATTAATTAAAATAACATATCAATAGATATTGTAATGGAGAAAACGAAGATTTTTAAAGTATTTTCAAGCAATTATAAATGTTGTTAAATTGTTTCACTTAGCAAACAACAGCAGTTGGTACTAACTAAAGCAGCCAGATATGATGCTGCTTCTGTCATATCACATTCTCTTTCGGCTTACAACAGATGGATTCACAATCAAACCAGGTAGATACTTTCTTACTTTCTAAGAAGATCAGCTACTGTCGTTTATAGTATGAGATTTAGTGAGAGATTATATCGTAAGATATAATCAAATGTTATACTCTAATGAACACGTCTTTTCTATGACTAAATCAAGTTATTAAATGTGAGTCAAGATGAGACGCGATGCCCGCTTTATTTATACTTTTAATATGCACTCGAGTACTCTATGATTTTATTGCCCTACTGTCAACCTTCATCTAGACTTCCGAACAAGATTAATGCACGCAGAAATTTTTCAGTAGTTCCTAATATAATCTTTTTTGTTATTTACTGTCAATCTCTTAATGAGTATCTGAAGTTTTCTTTGCTTACCTATGCATTCTCTTTAGATTTCCGATCAAATTTCGGGATATTATATTATCGGTTGCTATAAATCATGGGGGGATATCCGTAGAGAAGAAGCTTTTATGGGAATATTATCATGCTAACTCAACTTCATTGAGACAGGTCTATTTCAAAGCATTAGCATCTTCAAGAAATATCAAACTATTAAATAGGTATTGTGCCTCAATAGTTTTGATTTAATGATAGTTATTATCGATAAAGTCTATAAATAACCATAATTTATTCTGAAACATAAATAGTGTTAATAAGGAATACTTTTATTAAAAATCATTGCTAGTAATATCAATTCCCTTGATATAACTTGAATATAAATTCAAGCTATTTTAACTTATTCAATCTTCGTCTGATTACGGCATTTAAGGTTGCTAAATATGATGTTGAATTTAAAAGAAGTCAAAATTGATGAAACTGGATCATTCCTGAAGTTGATATCAAAGAATCAAGTTGCATCTGAACCTCTTTGGAATTATTTTAAAAGCCATTATGCACTTTTCTATCAAAGGTTAGTTACAAAGATAAGCTTTTCAAATTGATCTTCTTAATTTCTTATTACAAAATACCTACATCCTTATAATTATAGAAGTACATTATGCTATATTGCAATATGGCTACGTTTCAATCCTAATTGCCTACCATTTTATACAGTACTATTGTCATAGATAATTATATAAGTCATTTTTAAGTTGCTGCTTACAAATTAATGTAATTTTGATTAGGTTGCAATAGATGAACATATGTGATTATATTTCGGGCGTAGATTACATTACGTAACTCCGATGATGGTATGCTAAATTATGTTGTTATTTATGATATTATGCCATAGGTATAAATTGGACACGGCTACTCTGGCTGATATTTTAAAAGAACTGGTCACTTATTTTAGTACTGAAGCTCAATACGATGATGTAAGCTGCAATAGAATCCAGTTTAATCTTTCACTGCATATTAGACTCAATGGTTTGAGGAATACAATTAGTATATTGCTTATAGCATCGTTTAGTCACTGAAACTTTACTATAATTGCAATTTAGACCTAAAATACCCTATTTTGATAAATAGGTCAGAGTAAGGAATAAATTGTTAGCAAATGCTACGTGCTTGTACGTTATGTCGCTTATAAAATCTTGCACTTCTAAACGTAATTTTAGGTTGCGAATTTTTTTCGTTTACATAATGACATTGGAAGTGCGAAGTCTACTATTCCGCTTATTTTATCGAAAATCCGAGCACGTATTCAGTGGAAAAAATTTAACGAAATTACCGTGAAAAATTGGCTGAATGAGCGCGTATTATAAAATAAACTGTACTTATGTTACTAGGATATTATTTATTACTTTCAGATACCTTCGAGGCGGTTACGATGGTTGATTCCAGTTGATTAATATTTATAAATGAATAAAATGATCATAGTTAAAGCATTGCGATTTTATGTCTTGTAATAGCTGTATTGGCTATAACCTACAACAATAATTGTCTTTTTATAATTATTCTAAAGATTTATTTAATTGCTTTCGTAAATTTCCATAAGCAGTAGGAGAAGTTAAAAATGTAGAAATATTCGTTGATTGATTATAATATCAATTAATACTTACGGACGGATATTGTTATCTCATTATGAGACAATTATAAAGATTGGATAAAACTAAAAATTCTATACAAAGATCAGAAAATATCATCAAAGATGTTATTTCCGATGATTAATTTTGTAACTGTTCGTTTGCAGGTATTTATTCATATATACCTTACTTCTTTCTTGTGTAAAAGTTGAGGAGCTTGCAAGCAGAAGGTTTAATGTAACGGCAATAACAACTAGAGGCTTTATCTTTATTTATCTTATTCTAAGTATTTTTGTTAACGTATGGTTAAACATCTTTGTTTGCAAACTATCATTTTTATTCGTATTTACAAAAGCAATCCTGCGGACAAATCAAGTTTCAATAAATACTTTGAAATTGACTTTTTGGGGCTATGCAAGAGTATCCGGATATAGCTAATGCAGGTCGGTATTTTTAACTAGTTAATAGTCAAAAGATAACCATCTTGCAACAGCAATATACTGAGTAAATTCTGAATTGTTAAGCCCGCGTTTAACCAGTTTGATGCCCCCATATTGTGATAATATTAAATCAAGTAGTTTTCAGATTTGAGGGTCAAATACTACTAAGCTTGCCTCAAAACTTAAATTGTTGTTAAAATATGATTCAAATACATACAGTATAATGATCCATATTAATCAGGAGTATGTATAGAACACTTATTTTCGTTTTTTAGTATAATATTTGCTGTTAGATTTTAATAACCTTAAAAAACAAAAGACATAATGGTATTTTCGGATAGACACTTTAAGTAGATTATAACTTTACTAGAGTTAACAGATTGTTGATCAATAGTTAATGACATAATCATAATTTACTGTTAATGCTAATACTACAAATATTTGCAGCGTAGTTACGTCTAGCATGGCTAGTACTCAATAGCAATATCGATCTATAAAATTGTTTGTCTTGAAGCAGTTCAAACTTGCTGACGAAATATTTGCCAAATTGAAAACTTATGATCACGGTTCAATTGTTACTGTACATTAAATCTTATAGTGATGACAGCACTATTACAATGGTTTTTAATAGACAATATGTCAATTGACATACGTGAATATCTTCACAACTTTCGATTAAATTGACAATGAACTTTTCTTATTTACAAAATGACGCTTGCTAGCAATAATAAAGAGCAATTTCTATCTCTTATCGATTTAAATACCCACTAGGTAGAGCGAAAATGAGCTTCTATCTTATACGAAGATGACATCACCGGTAATAATTATATCCAAACTTAAAATGAGCTTTTATACTAAAGTAGCAATACTTCATTATTTATAACGAAGAAATATCGTATATTATCTTCGTTTTTGCTTCTGTGATAATTAATTTAACTATTAACAGTGCTGTGGATTACGCCAATCAATTCAAGATAGTTACACTTATTCCTAAATTATAAGGGTAAACCGTCATTAATCAGGATCCTTGAAATGATACATATATATATATATATATGTATATGTCTATGTTTATGTCTGTCTACGAAATTAAAATTACGATGTTACTTCCGTTAGCTCTTCTTCATGTGAGGTTTCCTAGAGTAGTAAATATTTATAGACAAGATATAATTACATATCAAGTAAATAGAACAAAACTTTGAAATCAATTTGTAGTTAAATCTAAATACATATATTTACATCTTCCAACGATTGACAGCAACATACGTTGGCTGTTCGACTGATGCGAATAGCCGCATACAAGGATATAAAAAATCCAGGTACTAATATAGCGAAATATACGATTAGCATTGCTAACGCGGTTGAATAATGTAGGACAGCATTTTTGCTTATGTACTCTACATAATCCCAGATAGCCAAAGGAAGGTTACACAAGCAACAACAACATGCAACCACTGACATAACCATGTGACAAGAAATCTAAAGGATAGAGCAAGCAATAGTTATCTATCTATCACCTATTGCGTCATAGATGTAATATATATATATATATATCACAAAGAATTAACAAAAAATATATTACCGTTTCTTCTTGTTGTTGATACATGGCATTAAGACCAATTTGACCAGTCGAGAGTAGCTAGTGAAACGTAATTTAAATACACGCAGCTTAGGCGTAAATAAATAATAAAAAAAAGTAGCAGAGTCATTAAAGTCATATAACAGGGCTACTTACAATACAACCGGTTACAAATGTCAAAAATGTGGAAGTGAGAGCAGAAAGTAAAGGCATTGAGATAAATCCAGCAGCAATTCCTAAACAGCCGTATATTGCCTGAGTCACTCCAGTTACTTTATGAATTCTGACTAAGCTATTCAATGTCAGGTATCTACTAAGTTGCAATGGAAAGAATAATGTTCCAGTTTCTTTACCGCGGCCAAAAGAAATTAGACTTGCGCAACTAAGGTTAACTAGTGCTAAAAGTAACGATCCTAGAAACATAACAAAGTTGATAGCTGTTCTTGTATATTGTGAAGTTGAATAGAAACTGTAGCAGATCATGCTAATGCTGCATAGGCACAGAAAGATATTTAGTCTGCCATAGATTAGTTGCCAGAATTTCTGTAAGATAAAAATAGAGGTCAAAAATGATTCCAGATTTCATCCACGCGGCTGTGCTGATCTAACATTAAGGTGGCTGTTAATACAGACGTAACCTATTGTACTTTAAAATATATCGTTGGATCGTCAAAACAAGTAGAATAATTATCTGTAAAGAAGGCTATCAATTAAATCTTACAATATAAGAGACATTAGGTATCGTATAGACTAGTCTTCCTAAGGCACCCATAACTATGACCTATCCGAAAAAAAATCTAAATGAGAAGGATATTATTCCATGATAGTAGATTGAAGTAACTTTGTAAGTTTTATCCCTTACCAAAGCACCAGAATAGTAGTTTGCCAGGGTATAATGGCGCTTAAAAAATATCATGCCACCGACTCCCAAGATAACAGTAAAACAACCTGACAGAATGGCAACTAAACTCACAGCGTAGATATTGAACCAGTTAGGAGTTATATTAGGGCTGGATGTATCGGATGAATTTTGATTGTTATCATCAGTGACATCTTGAATATTGATGATTAACAGCTTATGATAAAAGAAAATAAGTAGCAAAGATAGGCTAAGACCAATAAACGATACGGCGACAATAATAGCGAACAGAATCGACTTGGGGTTAACGCTGACAACATGGGAAGCGCCAAAAACGTAGCTAACTTTGAATAAATTGATAAGACCTGCAAGGAATGCTGTACCCGATATAGCAATAATAGGGACAATCTACGTAAGGCATGATATAAAACAATAGCAATAAATCGATATTATTGTGTTGATAAGTCATTTATGTTATATTTACAGCTATAATTATTCTCAATCGGCACTACAAGTGTACAGTATCTATTTGATATCCTCGTATATTTATAAATGAAATACGGTAGACTAGTCGAATTATATATGTATTGCAGACAGAAACTGTTACTGTTTCCGAAAACTAGATTAATAACAGACACAATAGTAGATTGCAATGTAAAACATCCCGACGAAAATAAAAGCAACTTGGTATGGAAATTCAGTTGTTATCGCAAATATCGAAGAGAAGGTTTAAATAATGCTATGACTTGAGATATAAAGCATAGCGATATGTGACAAGCATCGACTTACCAGGGCGGTCATCTGTCCATTGCGATTTAATATTAAGAGAATTCCTACAGAAATAAACTAAATAAACAAAAAGAGTAAATTGATTTTCAATCTGATTACTGTACTTGTGAGTAATTTAATTTAGTTTATCTTCCATTCGAAATTTAACTGCATACACAAACAGCAAATGCGAAACAACGATCAATATTGTACGTTACCAATGATCGCGTATATTTCTCTGTTATACAGTACATACGGATTGAGTATTAAAAATATTTTTTTAATTTATTTGATAATGGCAATGCAGTCTGTCTTATTCTTTCGCTATAAGTTACATTTTTCGACTCCATACACCACATACACTTGACTGCTATTCAAAATAGACATTTTGACGTTTAAAATTTGAAGAGATAGTAAATTTGTACGCGTATATGCTAGAACGTGTGCTCTTTAAGCTATATACAGTACTAGATATTGTACTTTCCATAATTAATATTATTATTAATTGTGATTCAATCAGTAATTAATCAATTCGTTAACAAGATAGCGCCGCACCGTAAGATCCTGTCACGGTACGAACTACCGTGAAGAAATAGCTATCTAAATTTGGTTAATATAATATAGTGATAATATATTACAACTAGTTACTTACAATACGAATTACTCTAATTATAAATGTATTACAGTAAATTAATTGCTGTGCTGTAATGTGCTCTGAAATGATTCTGTAAATAGACATATTGTAGTCCGACTGTGAAAAATTAGTTAGTAGATGTTCTCACCTAAGTATTTTTATAAGATGACTCATGAATGTTAACTGCTGTAGAAGGGTATATAAGCCCGTCAGATAGTTGAATAAAGTAGTTCTCAATTGTATAGTTATTTTAACGTAGAAGGAAAGGCGTCTAAATTCTTGTGAGGTAGTTAAGGGATACTGAATCCCGGAGACTATAGTAATTTGGATATTTGTTTTACGTTATCCTGATCACGAAGCTGGTTTGTGACAGATCCGTATAGCGATTTACTGCTAGTTATGATTTCTGTTGACTAATAGAGTATAATCGATATGTTTTGAAAGTAATCGAGCCTGATTTCGACATAAGCACGGATACTAGGCTATTCGATTGTTTTAGTTTACATCTTACGGATCAGTGTTGTCTTTTATTGTATGATGTTTTACGAATCTCCAGAATGTGTGCATTCAGCAAAAGAATAAATTCATCGAATGATTCATTAAACTGTAGAAATTGCAACGACGATGGTGCAATAGCAGTAGAGCTAAATCACAGTAGCCGTCGATTTAGCAAATAGAAATTTATCATTACACGATGATTAATATGGATGATACTTGAGTTGCTTGATAATTTTCTGATGCAGTAAGTTTTGGAATGAATCAATCTACTGTATCAGTTACTGTACATAACAAAATTGTGCATCACTATTACTGATTAAGATATAATGAGAAGATGATTGGCTTTTATTGAAGAATATCACTCTACGCGTACGAGTACATTATAATCCAGTAAAGTGTCTCCGGTGCATTAAATTATATTAATTATCAGGATCATGATAACGATCCTTTCTAATGTTCTGTGATGATAGAGGAGGGGCGTATATGCTAGTCTACCTACTCTTTAAACCGGTACACAATCAGATAGGCTGAGGGTAAAATTAGCTATCGATTTCAAATGACGCATTTTACAACTTTTCAAGGTAATGACATGAAGAAGTGTGATTGTGATGTTCTATTACGATAAGCAAACTACTGCATTGATTTGGACTATCAGCCATGACTATGCTGATGGCATCCCAAAGTGTTATTTTATTAACATGTGGCACTTGTACAAAGA